GGGGGGGGGGGGGAAACGAGCAGGAATGAGCCCTGAAGAGACGTACTTTTTCTGTACCGACTGTAGACAATGCTTTGGGCGCGAAGCATTAATTGAATGTGCAGACGATTTGGACCTGTGCCAAGCTTCTTTCGATTGCATAAGAATTGGTAGGCCAGAGCGGCTGCGTGGAATTTATCCTGTGGGGGAGGGGGAAGTGATAATCAGGGACTATTTCAGTGAGGTTGCGGAACGATAAGCCGACAGAGCGAACAGAGTATAATCCAATGACGGCACCAAATACTATGCTTCTATTAGATGTGTCTACCCTCTAGCTGGTTATTTAGATAAAATTTAATCAAAGGCTCAATATGAGGGAGTCTTCCCCGTTATCGAATAGCTGCCGTGCCTTTGTTTCAACATATCCTTTAACTCCGAACACAGCCTTCACAAGGAATCATTACCATCATCATCGACAGCGTGACATCAGTGTTCAACACCGATGCTTCGCTGCTGTACAAACATGGTTTATTTGAAAGCCTAATTGTAAAGAAAAGAATAAAGGTGGACGGGAAGGCACTTAGTGCTAGCTTAACACAATCATTCCGAGGTGTCTGCACCTCCAGGCATTCACTCAGGCAATCTGGATAGAAACTGACAACAAGAACGCCAGTGACATTGCTTAGCAGCCATATCTTGTAGTGTCTCCAACCAGGCACAGTGAGGATCACGCGGTCCCCTCGACAGCACCAAGCGTTTCGTGATTTCTTTCATACCCCTCTGCCAGGTAAAGGGTTGGACACCTCTCCGCGTCCAAAACTCTGAAGTGGGTATGGAAAACAGAACTCTCCTTGGCAAACGATGGCTAGGCATATGCAATACATGTCCCAACCAACGCAGCTTCTGGTGCTGGACAAATTCTTCAATGGAAGTACTCGTCGGACAACCGAAAACACGCTTTCTAACTGTCTCGTCACGGATTCGTCGACACCAACGCACACGAGCTATGATTTTGAGACAACGATTGTCGGACGCCTGAAGACATCTCAGTTCCGCTGTTCGAACAGACTGAGTTTCACAGCCATACAACAAAACAGCCCGTACTGTAGCTTGATGCACACGTCCCTTGAGACTAAGGGATACACAACTCTGATGCCATGTGTCTCAAGTTAGCAAACGCGGCTTAAGCCTTGCAGATTCGTGCATTCACTCATCTCTCACACTACAATCAGAACTTGTACAACTTCCACGATACGTAAAACTCTCCACAACTTCCAGTACCTCCCCGTGGATTGTAAGTGGCGTGTTCAGTGACTGCACGTCCACAAGAATGACCTTGTACTTTGTGGGTGCAAAGTGCATACCAAAGGGCGGGATGACTTTGGTCAGTTCATCCAAGAATACTTGCGCCTTCTCCTCCTCTTCGAACATGAGAACGATGTCGTCTGCATATTCCAGATCGACAAGGTTTTCTTCACAGGCTATTTGAACACCAGGGTTTTGGAGACCCTCCAGCGTTCGTCTCATTATTTCATCGACCACAAAGTTAAAAAGGAATGGAGAGAGTGGGCATCCCTGACGGACACCGCTTTGTGTGCGGAAGCTTTTGGAGAGCTCTCCGTACACTCTCAAACGTCCGGAAGTCTGAGAATACAAAGAGCCTATTATGTTTACAAACTTCCGGAGCATCCCTTGATGGGCAAGTGTCTCAAGAAGAGCAGACCAATCAACCGAGTCGAATGCGCCTCAGAAATCCAGGAATACTAGAGTTGTGGGTCACTCGTAAGTATGGCGTTGTTCTAGCGTCTACCGGAGTGTTAAGGTTTGGTCAACACAACCCTCACCTCAATCACCACAAAAAAATACCCTTTCTTCAAGTAAGGTAACCTTTAGAATGATTGGCTACACATTACTACTAGGATCTGCATTTGAACATATTTCGGTTTTTCAAACGGTTGACCAGTAGAAAGTCCTCCGCGAAGACAATATTCGACACCCTCCCTACAATTTGGCGTATCTCCTGTTCTGCACAACACACATAATTGAATACTCACTCCGCAGATGCCAGGTGTGTTTGCGATGCATCATGCTCAGCCGTAGCTTCACCAAAAACCCTAAGCACCTTAAATTCTGCTTCCAAACCATGAAACTCGGCCTGCTTAGCTAACTTAGATGTTCGCACCCTGAAGCAAGCAAGATAACGCACGCTGGACCAACTCTACATTGATTTATGCTGTCTGTCGGGAACAAGGATGCAGGACGCAAGTACTATGGTTGAACTGACTGCCTCCCCACTCTGTTCTCGGTTCCGGTTGCGCAGCTCTGGTGACACAGAGGCCACTGCAGCTGGATATGCTGGGATGGGTATTGTGATGAGCGGGGCGAGATGGTTCATTGGTTAGAGCGCGAATCTTCTGACGGGAGGGTCCGTGGTTCGAACCCGACCTCTGTCTCTCGTCTTCCTTTGTCTGCGCCTGGGAAACCTGGCAGTATCCAAACCCTCATGTTTCTTTCAGATAGCATGGCAGCTGGGCACCAACCGAGTGTTACAGCTTAACGATTATGTTGAGCGATCAACCGGAAGCGTCATTACCTGAATGAATGCCCCTTGATAGTAGACTCTGTGCGGTTCGTTTGGCAACATCAGTGAGAGAATCTCGAGAAACGGACTTCCATCGCACATTGCTTACTGTCTCCGCTTTCGCCCCAAATGACTGTTGCACTCAATTAGCCGAGGAGAGTTTCTACAATGCCCTTTTATAACGTATGGAGAATAAAAATCGTCCAGTTCAGATATGCATCAGTCGCAGACAGCGGAGGATCGTAAGTCGATAGAGAGACATGAATTTGGATAGCTCAAAACCAATTTGCGTTGTCAGAAAGGTAAAAACTGTGGGAGCAAACGTCAAGTACGACCAAAAACTCACGAGGATATGAGCCATCGAACAAATGAAATCCCTTATATTTTGAAACAAAATTGTGCTACTAACGAAGAACGAGTAGCAAAAGTAAAATGAAGCCAAGTAATCAGGAGAACCAATTGGAAACGATACCCAGCAGAATCCAAAGGGATCAGAGCTCAAACACAATTGAAAGCGACTCACTCGACCATCCGGATTCTTATCTGGGTGATATTTGATCGATATTTGGTAGTAAGCTCGGCGAATAAGGGCCTCTTCGTTAGACCTATGTTGAAAGTGAAGATACAGGGAAATCATTGATCACCAAAAAGGCTCATGGTTGTAGAAGCCGTCAGAAACACCATTGTAAGTATTTTCATACAGGAAACTACTCACAAGTTTGCTAATAACTTTTCGACAGCCCATGACCGGTTTCGGTCTTCTTGGGCTCATCAGATAGGCGCAGTCTCCGAGTTTCCGTCGACCTTATGTTCTACTTGAACCCAAATTAGACTGTTTTCGAGAAATACACTCATTTGCAAATCAATTTGCGTCCTCAATTCGCCAAGAAAATATGCTTTGAATTTTGTGCCCACTGAATGACAAAGCGGTCTCTGTGCGTAACATACTGTGAACAACAGATTCGGCTTGGATTCAGCTGGGTCAAATTGAGTTGTAAATAATTGTATTTGTAAAATTTGAGTTCAAATATAACATAAGGTTGACAGTAACTCAAGGACTGTGTTCAGCTGATGAGCTCCAAGAAGGGCAAAACCGGTCGTGGGCTGGCGAAGAGTTTTCACTAACCTTGTGAGTAGTTTCCTTTATGAAAATATACTGCAATATCTCGAATATCATGCCAACTGAAACACGAGGCGACCTGTGTGCAGAACATTCTGTTGAAGAACATCACAAACGAGAGATTCAGTTGAGTCTGTTGTGAAAACGAAATTGATTTGCAAATGAGCGTATTTCTCGAAGACCATTGTAAGTACTTTGGTGGTCAACTGCCGTATTAATGTTGCGGTCTTTTTCAATAAAAGCGTCAGTCTGAAAACAGTGGGGCGTGGAAGGGGTCCAGTGATTATCTTACCAGGGAATCCCAGACTAGTTATCAAAATCCATACCCTCAATGGTCACGCAAAAGCCACGGGAGCATAAAAACAGGAAAAAAAAGTCCCGGTCGCTGAGAACGCTGGGTCTCAGACAGGTACTTTTTCGATCAATCAACACAACAAAAACTGGTAGCATTTTTGATAGAACAATTGCAAAACTGCCGAATGGTGGGGGAGACCTTGGAAGATTCTCTGTACTTGACCATCGGTGCCTCCACAGCACTGGGTGAGTCCGTCCAGCAAATCAGAGATACGCCAAATGTTAGTCGGCAGAGTTCACTTTCCCTAGACAGATCGGCCGGTCACAGTCCACAGGTTACTCTGGTTAGGCCACGTACTTTGTGTGCTAAAGGGCTGTTTGCCTCGTACAGCCTTCTTCTTTGTTTCCACAGGTTGGTTAGGCCACGTACTTTGTGTGCTAAAGGGCTGTTTGCCTCGTACAGCCTTCTTCTTTGTCCTTGTCCAGGAGCGGTCGGTCCATGACTTGGCAACGGGGCATGAAAGCTATTGCCAGTCAACTCAGTCGCGTTGGTAACTGTCCTCTCCCCGGTCAGGGACTTGAGGACGAGAAAAACCATACTGGACGAATAGAACTATTCGACGTCAATGAACTGACTGGGGAATCGCCTCCAACGTGGTTCTCATTACCTGGTTCAACTGAGCTTCGGTTCGACGAAGTTGTACAAGTTAGAAACTATTGCTGTTTGTTAGTATATAAATTGAACAGAATGCACTCTGCAGGGCGCACATTCATTCTAGGAGAGAATGGGTTTGAAAGCAACATGAGATGGGTAGACTCACGGGTTCAACTGCGAGGCCTCTAATCCCAGTTCGCGAATGGCGTCGTTGTATGACATATCCACCGGTTTCTTCTCATTCTCCTCACGCCAAGCGCGGAGTATGTCCCGAAGAAGGGCAATCTGTCGATTAGATGGAGAACAAGATCCGAGGTCAGATGGGATAAGCAGGGATGAATTGAGAGGAATGTTAACTGGTTATCGATCCCCTGTGAAGAATGCCGACGCCATGGGAATTACTGTAAACGACAATCAATTACGAAGTGGCCGGACTATCCCAGTTGCAAGTCATCAGTCGTGAAATTTGTGTACATCGGTAAAAACACACGGCGCTCAGTATTCGCACAATGGAATAGGATTTTCGAGAGCTACGGCGTGTGCCTGATGGAACAAAACAGACAGGCAAATGAGTTCAGAGTACCGGTCCAAACTTTCGAGCCCCATCTAGGCATCCCGAGGCCTCAGCGATGCTGGGTAGCTATTCCACCAGATGTATGATTGCTTCAGTGGACAATGAAATTTGGTGAGCCGCAAAAATATGAACGTAGATTAGGATTGTTTTTTGGTTTGAGCGCATACGCAACAAAATGCAACATTTCGGCGAAGAAAGTCATCCGAAAGGTTTTGCAGCTAATTGGCGCCAAAACACACATGACGTGAAGGGATGCGTCAAACTGACTGATCATGGACGGCCCAATGTGCAAACACGCCACCTGACATAGAGTGACTGTGCCTATCCGCTATAAGAGGACTTGTGGGTCAACCAAAAAAGGCACCACAACCATAGGCATGTCTCAGTCGCGGAAGCTCGGGTCATCTGGCATCTTTTTATGTTAACACTGTGAATGGAGCGGAAAACCGGGCGATTCCTGTCCGACGCGCTGTCTGCTGTTTGGAGCTGACCGCCTAAAGCAAGCATACAGAATCAAAAAGAGAGCTCAACCGGAGAGACCTATGGTCGACTTGATACTTGTGCGTGAGTTTCGTTCTGTGAAGGCACCTCAGACACGCACTGCCCATTGTTGTTTATCCACTGTATCACTTGCCGTTCAACAGACTGTAACCCTGGTATTTTCAAAGATACATTTTCCGCTTGGGTGTCGTCGGGTGAAGGTTTGATATCTTTGTGACTCCCAGGCAAATGGGCGAGCTTAGAGCTGCTAAAGCCAATGAAGTAGAACTGGAATCGATGCACACAGATGATGACGATGATGTGCTCTGCTGCAGTTGTGTGCCGATCACAAGGGGTTTCTGTGCAGTAATACCTTTCGGAATGGCCATAGGGTGTCGTCGGGTGAATTCTGATAGTCCTATTGTTAAGCTTGTGCGGGACAAAGGCAGGTATGACTGTATGTAAGCTGCACAAATGTCGCTCAGCTATTGTAGAGACTTCGTACTCTAGAGTGGACCAGCTTCATCAAAACAACCTATTGTAATAAAATAATAAAATCGTTCAGCTGTAGCACCCTTTCGGTGCCTATCTACCATGCCACACGAAGGAGGCACGAGGGCTGGGATACTGTCAAGTTGTCCAAGTCTAGACAGGGGAAGTCGAAAGGCAGAGGTCGGGTTCGAACCACGAACCTTTCGGTCAGTAAATTAGCTCTCTAACCACTTGGTCCATGAATCCCAAATCTTTCTTGATCAGTAGTTTTGGCTGTACGATGTGTCCTCTTGTATACTCCATACGCATTCATATATTTTTCGCGCTTCTTATACGTTCTGCCACTTAATACTGGTCTGTTTTCTTACTCAACTTACAGCGATACCGTTGAGATAATCTATGGTACAACATTACAGGCGCAATTACAAATTACTGCTGCTGTTTTATAGACATAGAGAAGAGTATTTGGGATTGTTTTTGGCCCAAGTCCCCACCCTGTGCTACTAGCTAGTCGGGGCATTTTGTCTACCTTTCGTCGATCCCGGGTTAGTGGGCTGGTCACATCCGATCGAGCCCGATTGTATCGTTGCCTATTTGTAGACCACGATTTGTCTCGCCTATCTGGTCTCCTTTTTCCACCAATATTTTTTAAGGAGAATAAAAGGGATCCTACCCAGACAGAAGGACGACTGCGGTATGTTGCGCTCACT